CTTCAGAAGTTTACCAGGAAATTCGTGTTTTATCATGGGGAAATTTGGCAACGCCTGAAGGTTCATGTGGCGTTCTTTCTTAGCACGGCAGAATGGATATAGGACCGCAGTCTAGAAGTAACAGATGCTTCTTGCACACAAAGTGAAGACAATTTTCATCGTATTTATGCACGCACTCATGTAAAAAAAAAACGAATAGGTCAGAGAATGGCGAAATCTGTTCATTTAAGGGTTTTTTTAAAATATTGCGGAATGGTGCATCTCACATATGAGGGGAGTAACGATGCGAGCGAAGACGCCGCCGCGAAGCGCTTTACGTTAGACATTGGGCTGTGTAATGGTCGCAGCTTGGAGAGCGGGTCTTTTTGCGTCGGAGGAGTCAATAGGTAGTAAAACTAATAATTATAATAAATTCAATACACCATTGAAGGTTTGGAACTTTTGGGCGGCCAAATCTAGCGTAAGCGCGAACAAGGATTATAACGAAAGTACAGATGTCAACGGAGGGCGGGGTTTTCAACAGGGGAGAGGGGTATGGACCTATGCCTTACGTGATGTAACACAGGTTCGTGTGAAATTAGGAAATCTAAGTACATAAGAAGGAAAATAATTAAAACATTAACCTTTCACTGCTCTTGGCATCTTGTCAGCCGAATATGTGACAATTTGTAGATTATTTAATATTAATCAGCTTTCAATTGACAGAATAAAAAATTCGTAGATGTTTTTTTTCAATACTCAGCTTTGTATTTCTTAATCTGTGTCAATTAAATATTCAATGTTACTAAAAAAAATTGCATTTTAACACTTATACCATCAATTAGGCAGCTTGGAGGACGAGGCGCATGAGTACAGTTTTTGCTATTTCGAGAAAAACAAGTTTAAAATTTCTAAATTGTACGAGGCCTCATGGTAGAAAGAGAGTTCGAACTCACATTTTGATACTTAAGCATTGGATGTTACCAATGAATTTTTCACAGACTTTATTTCAAAACTAGAATTAGTTTGAATCACTAATGAGTCATTTTTTTTTCGAAAACTGCACTTATGCGCCTTGTCCTCCAAGCCCTTCAATTACTTTATACCCTTTCTTATTGACTTGCATTATCACTTTTCAAACCAAAACCGACAATTTTTAGTCAAAATACTGGGTAATATTCAGTGTCATGAAAATCAGTCGATAAACCAATATTTTAAAAATTAAGGCCGCCATCTTTTTTCCACCATCTTGAATTTTTATTCAGACTGAAAGGAACGTCAAATTCTAATTTACCAGATCAAAATACCAGGATACACCGAGATTCATGAAAATCTGCCAATAAACAAGTAGTTTTCAAATCGTGGCCGCCATCTTTAATTTTAAAACATTACTGCCACCCATCTTTGATTTCAATTCTGGTTAAATTCAACACAAAATTCAAATTCTTTAGGGCAAAATACAGGGTTACACTAAGTTTCATGCAAATCAGTCGATAAACAGGTTTCTAATAAATTATTGGCGCCTTTTTTTTCCCGCCATTTTGAATTTTGATTCAGACTGAAAGTAACGTCAAATTCAAAGAGGTGTGTGAAAAAATGGCCAAAAATGCCTCAAGCATTTTCGAACTTTGAGCACTCGGGGTGCTACAATAGCTTCCGAGACGCCCAAAACCGGTCGCCGTTTTGCTTGGAAGCGCCGGGTTGCGACGTTGCCATTTTTTAAATTGGAAACCTTTAAAAATTCATATCTCCGCTGCATCTCAACCGATTTCAATGAACTTTTATTTAAAATGCTCCTCTTAAATAGAGCTCTCTAGTGGTGTGTAGTTTTCTGGGGTTTACTTGGCTTTAAGCGGCACTTACGCGGTTTTAGCAGTTTTTATAGACACAAAAATTTTGTTTTTATTTTACCACGATCGTGGAATCGACGTAATCTAAACAAAAACCAGTTTAAATGAGAGTTCAGGTTCTCACCTTTCTAACAAGCACAAGATCATTCCGGGGAAACGTTTAGTTTCCGAGATATGACCGCTCAAAGTTGGTCACATGCGCTATTGCGCAATGTGAGTGCGTGTTATCACTGAGTCATTCGCGAACTAGGGGTCCCTTACGTTCAATTTACGTTGAAATAATTACACAGAGCAGTAAGGTGTACAACACGAGCCGTTTTTTCACCTTCGGCTGCCGATGTGCGACGTTGCCATTTTTTGAAGTGAAAACTCTTAAAAATGCATAACTTGGCTGCATTTCAACCGATTTTAATGAACTTTTTTTAAAATGTTCCTCTTAAATAGAGCTGTCTAATGGCATTCAGGTTTCTGGATTTTATTTACCTTAGGGAAGCACTTAGGTTGTTTATAAGGTTCTTTGCAGAGATTTTTCGTGGAAAAAAGTGTTGCTATTTTGTTTCCGGGGGGTTCTGGGAGGGTTTGAAATGGCAGAATCTTAAAAAAAGAACTTTTGAAAAAGGGATTCTTTTAATCACTATTCTAACGTGTACAAATATTGAAAGCGACGCTCTCATTGTACAAGAGAAGGTGGTGTTGCTAATTTACCAAGATTTGTGCATTAAACTTAAAGCGATGGTGATCTTCCAATCTAGTGTGAATGTAAAAAAAAATCGGGGGAAATACAGACCTCCTTCCAAAAAAGAAAAAAAAAAGCAACACTATTTTTTGTGCGAAAAATCTCTGCAAAGAACCATATAAACAACCTAAGTGCTTCCCTAAGTAAATAAAATCCAGAAACCTGAATGCCATTAGATAGCTCTATTTAAGAGGAACATTTTAAAAAAAGTTCATTAAAATCGGTTGAAATGCAGCGAAGTTATGCATTTTTAAGAGTTTTCACTTCAAAAAATGGCAACGTCGCACATCGGCAGCCGAAGGTGAAAAAACGGCTCGTGTTGTACACCTTACTGCTCTGTGTAATTATTTCAACGTAAATTGAACGTAAGGGACCCCTAGTTCGCGAATGACTCAGTGATAACACGCACTCACATTGCGCAATAGCGCATGTGACCAACTTTGAACGGTCATATCTCGGAAACTAAACGTTTCCCCGGAATGATCTTGTGCTCGTTAGAAAGGTGAGAACCTGAACTCTCATTTAAACTGGTTTTTGTTTAGATTACGTCGATTCCACGATCGTGGTAAAATAAAAACAAAATTTTTGTGTCTATAAAAACTGCTAAAACCGCGTAAGTGCCGCTTAAAGCCAAGTAAACCCCAGAAAACTACACACCACTAGAGAGCTCTATTTAAGAGGAGCATTTTAAATAAAAGTTCATTAAAATCGGTTGAGATGCAGCGGAGATATGAATTTTTAAAGGTTTCCAATTTAAAAAATGGCAACGTCGTAACCCGGCGCTTCTAAGCAAAACGGCGACCGGTTTTGAGCGTCTCGGAAGCTACTGTAGCACCCCAAGTGTTCAAAGTTCGAAAATGCCTTGAGGCATTTTATCACACACCTCTTTCTTAGGCCAGTATACTGGGATACACTGAGTTTCATGAAAATCTGCTAATAAACAGGTATTTGGAAAAAAAATCAAATATAATATTCAGCTGATATATAGAATGCACAAGAATCACGCAAAGTCGGGAAAACGCTGACGAAGTCAACAATTAATTTAAACGTAATTTCAGACGGCCGCCATTTTGTTTTAAGCAATTTTGACTGTGTTCCCGTGGGGAACTAATGGTAAACTTTTTTAGGGGGACACTAGACATGTTTTGGAGTGCCTTAAAACACAAGAGAAGTTTGCGCTAATTTGTCCGAGGTTAGGCCCTTTTTTGGCAAGTTTGCCTGGACTATATAGAAAATTTAACAAGCTTTGACTTAGAAAATAACCAATTATGTCATCTTATCAACCATTGTCATATGTTACAGATCTTTCCCCGCAAGAAAGGTCAATTTTAAGGAATTTGTGCCGAATTTGGCAACTTTTGACACGAAATTTGTTGACGAAAAGTTGAAATTCGGATTCTACGACGATATTTACTCCCGAAATCTTAATGATGCTATCTGGTGTTTTTGAAGGCTTAAATTTCTATGTGTCTAGACTCAACAAGCAACACAGTTACCAAAGACAATCCCAAGTTCGATCCTCAGGCACCATCCAAGCCCGCTAAATATCAGACACGTTCCAGACGAAGAGTCAGATTCCCCTTCCCACCATCCACTGCTGGGTAGGCAGCCGTCTCGGGCGCACCAGTAACTAATTATGTCGTCAGATCAACCATAGGCTAATTACAGGTCATAATCCGTTGAAAAGGTCAATTTCAAGCCATTTTTTCCGTATTTGGCAACTTTTGACACGAAATTTTTTGACGAAAAGTTGAAGTTCGGATTCAGCTTCAAAAATTACACGAAGAGATTTCATAGAAAATACTATTTAGTATTTTTGAGGGCCGAACTTCCTATCTGCCTGGACTCAACAAGCATCGTCACTCCAAAATTCCGTTTACAAATATGGTCATAACTTGCTAATTAAGCATTTCATGCGAGGTATAAGTAATATGTCGATGGATATGTGGAATCAAACTAACTATCGATTAAACAACTTTTGACTCAAATAAAAAATGTGGTGTGTTGAGATAATTGCGGATTTGTAAAAATTGATGAAATTAAAAATCGAAAAAATTGGTGCCAATTTTCGATCAATAGGACATTTAAAACATGAACAAATGTTTAAAATGCGCAATTCTGGGAAAATTTCCATCCAAACCGCGTCTTTAAAGCTCCATTTCAATGCCACTCACGGAAATGTCACTTTTTCAACTTGGCAACGCTAAAGCGGGCAGGGAAATTGTTCTCTAATTTGCCGTTGCTAGAGGAAGGCATGCTGTGTGTTAAGCAACACTACATCCAATTACCCTCAAAATCCATAAGGGGATAAAATCGCCGATTATGAATAACTCTCTTTCAAAAAAACAGGACACCTTGACTTGCAGATACTAGGACATGCAGAAAATAGAGATTTAAAATTTTCTTAGACATGTAAAAGAAACAATTTTACTTACGGAATCGGTATGGTTATGCTAACATCATTCAATTCCATGTCCGGATGTTCAAGCTCATACTCAATATTCACATCACAGCCCCCTTGACCATTTTCGCTGGGCCAGCAATTTATTGAAAGTGGAATGGCAGCTTCATCTCTAGTTTGAAATCTCCACTTTAAAACACCAACATCCGTATTTAGAGGGAAAGGCTTTGTTGGATTCTTTAGACCAATCTGGCCTCTGGTTTTGAATAGTTCTTTATCAACATTTGGATGGGTCTGGAACTGAAAACCACGATCATCGTTGTTGTTGATTTGCACTCTGATTTTTCCATACTTGTCATTGCTGATTCTAAGAGAGACAAGACCATGCAATTCAAAGTTTTGTACCCCTCCATCTCTGCCTACACTGACAATCAATTTTTCTTCTTGCCTCAAATGAACATCATCGATATTAGCTAAGATGGATGGAGGAACTTTGCTATTGGCGGTGAGAACTGGGTCATTAACAGGTGGCGAAACAACATTCTCCCCCTCCGATTTCAACTGATCTACGAATGATTCCACGTCTCGATTTTTACCCCCCAACTTCATGGCCTTGACTGAGATAGACGGCTTTGAAGCAGGGCTAAGACTGGGTTTCTTCACATCGGACACAGGAAGCGGTGTGTATGGAGAAGAGTAATCATGATTGCGGAAGTCCATCGGGGCAGACCCAAACTTCAAGTTTCCTTTACTATACTCTAGACGACGTTTTTGAATTTCTTTTGTTTTCTCTCGCATTTTGTTTTTAGCTTCTCGTTCTTGTGTTTGACGCACAGCTTGATACACTTTTTCTTCATGAGAATCCATCTCAACAAATGTTCGAATTTGAGCTAAATTCACACTTTCTCTGTAGCCTAGTGCTACTATTTCATCAAAAGCAAAAATGAGATTGAAGGCATTTTCAGCTATTTCAGCTTCTTCCATGTGCCTACAATATTCAGGAATCTGAAAAGAAGAAACAAGAAGACGCAATTCATAACTGAAGTTTGACGGAATAAACTAATTTACTCGCTACCGCTAATACGAGAATGTCTGCATTGCTACGTCTGAAAAATTCCTCAATCTTGTTCTCTCACACATTAACAGTCTCTGATTTTCCTGTGTGCAACAGTGGCTTTTTACAATTGAGCAAAAATAGATTTGTCTCGTCACCAAAACTAGTTGCTGATTTTTTTAACCAAGCCAGAATCAAATAATTTGCAGTAGTATCCGACCAGAGCTGTAAAGTGCTTTTTCACAAGATGAAAATCTTCCAAATCATTGTTTTTCAAGTTTTTCTTTATGTTCCCATTTACATTTTACTGGATGTCTTGAACGATTTTGATAGAACTCCAAGATTTTGTCACCTAGAAAGTGACAAAAATTGGAGTTGAGTTCTCAAACTAGAGTCCAGAACTTCTACAGTCTAACAGTTGGCAAATCACGACTGCATCCAGTTTTGTAGTCCAGTAAGGTTAAAAACTTATGTCAAAAACCCATCAAAAGAGAAAAACATACAGATAAAATCTATAAAAACTTTTCAGCTTAACTAAGTCTTTTTGTTCTTTGTCCGAGTGTGGTGGATCTGCGCGTGGCATATGCAACTTGAGGTGGTAAGCACTGGTTCGGACGAACTTCTTAACTGAGTACATGTCCTTGTAATAATTGTGATTTCTGGCAATGTTGCTGGTCACTGCTAACATTGCCAATTTAGGGGTACCCATAGCCACAAAATAAATTGACGCTCATCAACATATGTTCAATGCATAATGTGTAATTACTCACTATCTTTCTTTCTGAATGAATAAGTCATTGTTTGTGTTTAAGTGAACATATCACCTTACTGGACGGTATAAAAGTGAACTAAAAACGCTGGACGAACGAAAGCGAGGGACCAACCATTCACGAGGACGAATTTCACTTGGACAAGATTTCGCGGGTGGAAAACCGAGGACAAAAGACATAGGGCGAAAAAATTCATGGACAAAAAAATTGGACCGAAATTCCTGTAACCACTTGGAGGACAAGGCGCATGAGTGCAGTTTTTGGAAAAATTGAGATATTCATGAACTCAACTAAAATTAGTTAAAAAATTTATTCTGTGAAAAATTCACAACTAAAATCCAACATTAAAGCATCAAAAAGTGAGTTTAAACTTCTTTTCTGCCATAAGGCTCCATAAAACTTTTGACATGTTTGCTTGAAATAACAAAAACTGAACTTAAGCACCTTGTTCTCCAAGCCTCTCAAATGTGAGGGTAATATAATGGGGTGGTTATTTCTCTTATGCAATTTTTCTACTGTTTGGATCAGAATGTTTCTCACATGGAAACAAAAAGAAATGCATAAATTAATGACAGCCTCATTGTATTGCATGCATATTTTAAAAAACTCTCTCGGGCCCTAAAAATTTTCCTTTGTTTGAAGTCTTCAAAAACCAATTGTTAGGAATGTTCTTTTTAAGAAAAATTGTGAAGCTTGTTCCGTAACCGTAACCAAGCCCTCCCATAAAAGAGGCACTTTACATGAGAGCAGGGAATTCTAGGAACTCCTATGAGTTTTGGCTGAGAGTTGCATTTGGTCCAATATGACAACAGCTGTTTTGGGACATGCCTTTGTCTTTTCTTCGGATCCGATTTGGAGTTAAATAGTATAGATGATCGAGCATACGGCAAAAAAATTGAATAATTTTTGTAAAAATCCAGTAATTGCTATCAAAATACTAGGATTGACGACCTCAAATGTCAAAGTAAAAACAAAGATGTAGACTAGGGTGTCCAAAAAGCAGTTCGACCCTCGAAAAGTTACGTTTTCTAGTTATAAAAGTGTTCCATTTTGTTAGAAAACACTTTTGACCAGGTTTCAGATTTTTAGGTAAAGTTCAAGTGCTGCTGCATCGCACACTTGTAAAATTTGCCATCCCCATAATTGAGGTTTTCGGCGATTGGATGATTATTTTTATTCAGGAAGCAGTCACGCTGGAGCCCGGAAAATTTGAGATAGTAGCCTCCTCATACACTAATTTTGATATAAATTAAACATTTGGGCGTGCGAGACAGGGAAATATTTTTTGAAAATTCGGGAACTTGGCCGAAAACGCTTCTCAGGCCCAGATGGGATACAAATCAGCGAGTTGACTAAGATTTTAGAGTTTGAAGGAATATTGCTATCGTCGTAAAAATTTAAGGTAGTCGACTTCTAATTGACTTCTTTTCATATAAATAACACATTTAAGCGTGGAAACCGCGGAAATATTTTTTAAAAATTCGGAAACTTGACCGAAAACGCTGTTTTGGCGCAAATCTGCATTTCGGCGAAAATTGATTACTTTTCGACTACCTTCACTTCATAAAACGCCAGCAATATTTCTCCGAAAAATTAATTAATCAGTTTTCGCCGAAATGCAGATTTGCGCCAAAACAGCGTTTTCGGTCAAGTTTCCGAATTTTTAAAAAATATTTCCGCGGTTTCCACGCTTAAATGTGTTATTTATATGAAAAGAAGTCAATTAGAAGTCGACTACCTTAAATTTTTACGACGATAGCAATATTCCTTCAAACTCTAAAATCTTAGTCAACTCGCTGATTTGTATCCCATCTGGGCCTGAGAAGCGTTTTCGGCCAAGTTCCTGAATTTTCAAAAAATATTTCCCTGTCTCGCACGCCCAAATGTTTAATTTATATCAAAATTAGTGTGAGAGGAGGCTACTATCTCAATTTCAGGGCTCTAGCATGACTACTTCCTGAATAAGAAAAATCATCAAATCGCCAAAAACCTCAATTATTGGGATGGCAAATTTTACAAATGTGCGATGCAGCAGCACTTGAACTTTACCTAAAAATCTGAAACTTGGTCAAAAGTGTTTTCTAACAAAATGGAACACTTTTATAACTAGAAAACGTAACTTTTCAAGGATCGAACTTTTTTAGGGACACCTTAATGTAGACACCACCAAAAAACAAGTAAATTCATTCATTATACAGCCTTCACGTCAAAACTATCAATTCAATGATCAATGAATTCACATGCAGTTTTCTGTGCAAGTAGATCAAGTATTAGAACTGTAAAAATTATGGTGTATTCCTGTATCTTATATGATCTAATATTGAGCAACACAGTACTTATGAACATTGGAAATCCAAAGGAAAATAAATATACAGCAAACTTACAACTCTTGAGAACAACCGTAAGGTTTCAAGATCTTCAAGAATATTACTGGCTTTTGTAGTTATTAACAGCATATAAAGTTTCTCCAAAGGTTGGTAGACGTAGCGAACTGATTCAGTTTCTATGAAAGTATGTTGCTTCCCGGATGACATAAGCTTAGGAAAAGCAGCGAGTAATCCTTCAATGCGAGCTTTGGTCATTTCTACGAACTGCCGGGAGACAATAGCTACAAGAAAATGAAAATATATTGTATGAAAGAGCTGAAAAATTTGTTCACCACATCATTTTTCTAACATAGGGACTATGAAAACTGACAATATTGTGTATGCCAACCAGAAATTTAGAAACATTCTAATGTCAGGATTGTCAAAAAAAAAGCTTACTTTATTTGAATCAGCACATGCGAAAGGGTCCGAAGTCCATTCTTTTGGAGTTTGACTTTTCAGGCTCAACGTTATCTTCGAGGGGTAAGCGTATCTGTGAGTAGAAGGGTTTGACCTGTATGGGGATTTTTCGCCCCTTTTTTGGGGCTCCAAACCTCAAAATAATGCAAAAACGCTCGATTTGTCTCCATATGTGTTCCTGTTACTTTCTGGGCACAGTTGTCACCTTTTATATGCAAAAGGATACAGAGGTGACCCCAGGGAGGGGGGGGGGTGCTGACAACCAGTAAGCAGGGATTTGAGAGAATTTTGCCCTAACATAAAGGGGGAGGGAAAGAAATAGTTATTTCTATCTTCTAAAAGAAAAATAAGGTGCTGCCTCCCAGCCCAGGCAAGGCCCTGCTTGGTTTTTAATCTCATAGTTTACATTGTATTTTTTTATCATCGATTTACCCTACTTCATAAAATTACAATCGATTTTATGCATTCTAGGCAGTCCTGAACTCATTTCTTGAGGAGCGATTCAAAATTAATGCAAAAACGCCCGATGTCCATTATTTTTCTTTTTCCGCTGTCATGAAACTTTCATTGAAACCTTAAAGAAAATGGAATAATATTTATGGTGTCAATGGAAGTCTGACATTATGTTTTACTTTAAATACAAGGTTTCTTAGGGTGTCAGAAATAGTTACTTAAGGGTAGATTTTTGCGTCTCATGCGAAAACGTCCATTGTACAGCGCCCTTTTTTAACATTTCTCAGTACTGGGTGGGAGTGGAGAAGGGAAACAGTTGTGAGCCTTTTCTAAAACCCTGTACTAAGATACACATGCTCCAACTTTCTTCAAGACACTAATTCAAAGGCCCCCACAGTATTTTGCAGGTTACCAAAAGTTGGTTTTTTGGACATCACACGTTTTCGCATGTGCCAATTTATTTATTACAATGAGTGAAGTTGTGCTGACCAGACTTTAGATTGAAAATAGCACTTACAGACCTCCTTTCTTTTATTATATCACAATGAGAATAGCCAAGTGAAACGCCTCGTTTTTGACATACCAGAAGATGAAATATGAGATACCTAGTTTAAGTTGTGAGTGCTCTTATAAAAGTATGATAATAAAAAAAGCTGAGAGTTAAAGAACACCTCGTATCGACGTTAGGTTATAAAAAACTCTTACATAGGCAAATACTACAGATCTTAATATGAGATCAGGATGAGAAAAACTCTATGCTAGAGGAATTTGTGTGGTAAGAAGACTTACTTTTCCCTGCTTTGGTACAGACAGCTGCTGCTATCAGGACCTGCACAACCAATAATTTCATAAGTAATATGAGAAAAATGCAGGTAATAATTTGAGAATTTCCACTTATCAACAGTCATTGCTTGATTGACAGACTTATCGTGAAATTTCTTAAAAGACAAATTATAATGAGCAGGGTTTATTAACAGGAGCACGGCTTTTAGGAAGGCACGCTGAAGAATGCTTAAACATGATTATAAAATTTAATGCTCACTGGAAAAACAAACGTTCCCATTTTTCTTCCAAATTTTTATATTTTTCAGAGGAGGAAATGACTCCGCAAATATCTTATGGGGATGTGTGCTGTGGTCGATTTTCGATTTTATTATTGCATTAAACTCGTCAATGGATGCTGATCAAAGGTCATCATTGCGCTACTTTCTACAAGCCACCGTTTTCGCACGATCTGCCCGGGGGTTTCAATAATTCATTGAATAAAAGGAGGCAGCGCAGCAATTATAAGTTGAAGAGTTCAATCATTTCAGCAATAGAGTGCGGTTGGCTGTGTGTCACTGAGAAAATCAGGAAAACTCGAGCGGCAGTCTGATCTCGGATTCCGCACGCCTTATCCCTAGACCATCCAAATCAGTTGCTCTCTCTCTCCCAGTCTCTCCCTTACCTGTTACCAACTGAGTTTTTTCTTGCTATATCTAGCACGTTCTCAAGTTTTGAAAAAAAGAGGAGTCTTGTTGACTCTGCATCACCACACGGCCTCCTTATTGCCTATGCCTCCAAGGAATTATTAAAACTTCCAAGCGGATTGTGCAAAAACGGTAGCTCATAGAAAGTTAATGCATAGATGACGTTTGATCAGCATCCATAGACAAGGTTCATGCAATAAAAAGATAGAAAATCGACAATGGCACACATTCCTACAAGAAGCTTACTGGGTCCTTTAATTGCTAATACTCCAGTTAGGAGCCTATAAACAACTATAGGTATGTTTGGAGAGTAAGGGGTACCAAAACCTTCGGAAAAACAGGAGAAAGCTCCAATACCACATGTATTCACATGTGGAAGGGTAAATTCGATCTAATAGTTAGAGTTGATCACAGAAAAAGGTTTTGAGGGATAGGAAAACAATTAAGAGGGAAGATGAAAGGAACCAATAGGATGGATGTAAAAGGATTGGGGAGAAAAAGTGTGTAAATGTCTGAATTCTACCATAATCTAAGACAAGAGGAGAAAGAACAGTTCTTGCTGTCTACCAGCATCTATGGGTCTAGTTTCCTTTCTTCAATTTAATATCTAATTCACATGGATCATGGTATTTCCGCAAGAATAGGGCACTGATGGAACTCGGACAGACACTCCTTGTCAAAGATCCGTAATCCTAGCACTAGACGTCAAGAATAGATCCTTACGACAAATTTCTGGCAAAACATACAATTGATAAGTTTTAACTTAGGACCACCTCCTTCGCTCACACATTATTGAATACTCACCTGCTCCGAGTTACTATAAGTTCCGAGACCTCCTAATATTGCATAACTGGTAACGTTTAGTTCCAGCGTTCTACCGGGCCGATTTTCATGATTTTTGCGGCTATCGACAGGCAACTGTCTCTAGATTAGCCCGCTCTATTCAGTTTTTCAAAATATGACCCAAGTTTTTTATGTTACGTGGTAAAGTTGCAAATTCTGCCATTTAAACGATGTAAATTTATATTTTTTGTCATATTGTCTGAGCATTCTACTGGGCCAATTTCCATGATTTTTGCGTAAATCGACAGGTGATAGGCCGGTGCTTAGTGGAAATGTCCAACGGAAAATGTCCAAAAGACAAAATGTCCTGGTTAAAATGTCCAATTGTCATAATGTCCACGACAAAATGTCCAGAAGCTGAAATGGCCAAAATTCAAAACGTCCAAAACCTAAAATGTCCGAAACTTGAACGGGCGTAAAACAAGTATTTTTTGCTTCGCCTTTATATGTGGCAACAGGTCAGAGAGACAGCTGAAGTTAATTTCATATTATGAATGAGTGTAGGTTTTCATATTTGAGATTACCATGACGATGCTGCAGGAAACAGAATTGTCAATCGTACTTCTCAATTTGGATCAAAAACTGAAATCGTAAGTGCCATAAAATCTGCAAAGTCTTTCATTTTTAATGTGTAGTGTACAATTGGACCTAAATTGTGTAGTGGTTTCATCGTTTCTTTGCCCAGATTGAAGAAACCCAAAAGAATTGAAGAAGAAAACGAAGAAGGAGAGGCTTGAGGCATTACGTAAGCTGATGTTAAGCCATTTTGATTTTGCATATATGTGGACCTATGGGACATAAGGGACATTTTGCATAAGGGACATTTTGCATATAGGATATTTTGAATTCTGGACATTTTAGCTTTTGGACATTTTGTCGTGGACATTATGACAATTGGACATTTTAAATAGGACATTTTGTTTATTGGACATTTTTTATTGGACATTTCCATCTGTCACCGATAGGCCCTAGATGAGCCCGTTCTGATCAGATTTTGGAAGAAGGACCTGGATTTTCTTACAATTCGCTGTTCGCAGAAGGTTGTGAAGTGGCCGAGGAGGTGGCGCAGTGGCTGTGTAGCCTGCGCATCAGCTCTATACTTATGTACACAAGATTCTCCTCCCATTTTTCGAACCAGGCTGTGGTCGAGTCATCAAAGGCGTCAACTGTGCCTGCCCACTCCGAAATGGGGGTTCGATTCCCAGCTTAGTATCTTTTTAAAAGTACCTGTCTATCTCCAACCACTGTTTTACTGCAATGGATCATTAATCAAAAATTGAAAATCGCATCCTTATACCTTCTCATTTTTTTCTTCTTTATTTATCAAAATGTACGTATGAAATAAACTCATTTAATACCGAGAAGGTGTGAAGAAAGTCCCTAGCTTAGTGAGCATGTGCCCACTCTCTTTCACAATTTAGTGCTGAGAGGAGAGCCATGCCATAACGAAATAAAATTGCAACGTTTCAAAGGTTCACCTACTAACTCACGAGTGAATGTTTTGACATGGAAATTGTAAATAAATAATCACCAAATCATTACAAAGTATCAGAACAAATTTCATTAAAAATTATTGCGACTGTCATTGCATAATATAATGCTTTACTAGATGTAACTTTGCGACATTGCATTTGAATTAGTCCAATGGGTTCTTACTACTTCTGTCATAAAAGTTTTGCCGAGATTTGTTGAACAAATATTATCATGAAAATATGAATTACATTGGCGCTGCGGCTACAAAAGCAAAGCAACCCCGACAACCCCTGATGGCGCTCCACGCCATCAGGGGGTTGGGCCGGGTAGCCCCCAAGTATTTAATGCTCAACAAGTTGCAAAGTGATTACTTTAGGGGGGATTCCTTATTATGTTCTTGCCCTATGCCTTCAAGAATCCTTCATGGAATAATAGTGCCATTCGGATGCTGAGGGTCTAAACGGGTACGTAGGAGACTGCGTTACAGGAGTGCGTACAATGGAGACCGAGCATCAAAGCGGATCATGCTTAAGAGGACTTTGCTGCACAGCAGTATTGAAGCCACAACACATGCGAATGTTGCGTTAAAAAGCAGAGAGAGCTCTCTATCATAAGAGCTGCGTTGTCGAAGTAAACTATTTGGGACTGTTTGGCGACGGAATTACCCAATTCCAAACGGTCAGCTTAGTTGGACTTCGTAAGAATTACCAGATGGCTTGTTTGTTGAAATCCAGAAGCCTAACGTTTCTACCAAACGCTCAACGATATCAGGAGGTCGATGGGACCGTTGGCTTGCGCTTGGAAACGGAAGAACCAAACGTAATCGTACAAGTTTACTTCGTCAACGCAACGTACCTAAGATTTGCACTGATTGACCTAACCTAAAAATTTGAAATGATGGAATAGGTCTGAATTATTGATGAGATAAATGAAGTCTTCTGATAAGTAGCTCGAAGACAAGTAGAGAGCTGTAAACAGAGGTAATGAAAATGGTGTAGATGATAATTTCGAAAAACATTTAGGTCAAAAGTTAGGAAAACTTGGAGCTGAGAGAACAGCTCTAGACAGGAAGCGATGCCAAAGAACTCAAAGTGAGATAAAGAGTTAAAGCTCAGGAACGTAGGTACATACCATGATTTAATACTTCATGCAACTGAACGAGAAAGGTTTGATTGGGAAAAAACTTGAGAAAATCGCTATAAAAACTCCATCACTGCAAGAGTGCAAGCTGACGTGGTACCAAAGACATAAAGACGGAGTGCTCGTATCTAAAAGCACGGGGAAAAAGTGAAGCTAGGTTCGGCGCTGCGCGTTTGTGTGAGTGTGTAAATGAGCGCGGGAATCCATGGCGGCAAACGGAAATTTGATTTGAACTTGTCCTCTTGATTTTTCCTTATTTCTTCTTCGAAACGTGTTTTAAATGCTTAAAACGATTATATTAAGAAAGTTTGGTCTGCGTCCTAATATATTACACCTACTTTTGCTCGGTAACAGGCAGTAATCTCAGATAAAGTTAGTTTTTCTTCTGCTTATGGTGGTTCTGCAGGTTCAAACAGGCCGTTACAGTTCTAGATCTACGTTATTCCCAAATGAAATCAGTCGATCGACGACGGACCGAAACTAACCTAAAGTTAATAAAATATGAGTGGGTACCTGAATTTGGGCAAAAATCAACCTAAAACACTTTGTTTCCGCAATTTTATTTATTAGTTCCCGCCCTACATTTGAATTCAAACTTGTCCCGATTTCGCCGCCAATCCTCTAGCCAATAGTAGAGGTGATTGAAAAGAAGCTCTAGAAGCTTCATTTTTTGCTTTTAGTGCTCCGTCTTTATGTCTTTGCGTGGTACGCCGAAAACACATAGAGAAAAAAAAGGAGGTGTTTGCATTTCGGGCATCTTGGAATTTTTCATAGAGTATCTATAGGTTTGATGACGTCATTGGGTACAGCGACGTTTTTATCCTGTCGATTTTCTTGGAAATGGTGTAATTTAAGGGAAAAAGTCATTCTATAAAAAGTGCTTGAAATTAAATAAAGAGTTGATTTAAGTAAAAAAATCGGACATTATGGTCCGTTTTTACAGCGTCAACATAACCCTCAACGAGCGTCTTGTTTACACTAGCTATGTTTATGCGAGCCTCTAAACCTAACTTCAATCGAAACCTAAGTTTGAAACCAAGGTTCAAATCACGGCATAAACGATACGGAACTAACGAAATGTAGGTTTCCGAAATTTGTGTTTGAAACCTTATTTTACACTAAAGACTAGGTTATCGCACTCCGCATAAACGAACCGGAGGTTGAAATTAGTTGAAATTCGACTTCAAATGCGCTTTTCAGGTGCGCGATCGGCAATATGGCGGATTTA